TTAATAAATCCGAAATTAATGATCTTCATATATTACCCTAACTAATATTTGATTTTATTAGTTGAGGTAACACCCTAGCGAGACGTTAAGCAGCGGAAAAGTAGAAATATCAGACAGAACGTTAGAAGATATAAGAAATTTTGGAAAAACTGCTTTTGAAGGGGCGCTAGATAAAGAGCTTATAAAAACAGCTAAAGAATTGGATGTTCGCATTAATGAATTACAAAACGGTTATTCTTTACGTAATTTTATATATCGTTTTTTGAACGGCAATTTCGCAAATGAATATGAAGACGCCAAAAAAATGTCTTTTCAAGTAAGATTAGAGGAAATGCGCAATATTGCAAGAATGAATATCGCAATTTTTGATATTTTAAGTATTGATAAGAAAGCTATTGCAAAAGTTAGAAATACTATTGAGGAAATTAGAGATTCAACAAATAGCAATTATCTGAATGAATCTCGATTAGAAGCCTTGGAAGATTTTTTGTGGATTATGAGTGGTGAACTGCCCGAATCTTTACCAGTAATTGGTTCCATAACTGCGTGACATGGTCTCGCTAAACTAAGGGTGAGAATCGATTCTAATTAAAATCGATGATCGAAACCTCAAAATCGTTTTAGAATCGATAATTATTTCTTGTATTTGAGTTGCCCGTTTAGATTCTGTTTTTTATTATTTAACACTGTAAGTTATTTAGTTATATAAATAATATGAAGCAATATACAAAGTTTTTTGATTGCGTCAAAGCTATACCAAAACTCAATAGAATTCTCAGTATTTTATAACAGGATTTTGTGCTCTAAAACAGACTTTATAAATAATAATTTGTATTATTATAAATACTATTGTCATAATAAATACATTGCAATATTATTTATAAATTTAATTTAAATTTTATTTAATATAAAAAATAACAAAAAATAACAAAAAAAATATAAAATAAAAAAATATAAACAAATTGTGGAGAAAAAAGCAATTGCTAAAAAAAACTCCACTCTAAAGATAAATTATTATGAATCTATAAAAATTAATTATTAGTAATTTTTAAAATAAATACTTTATAGATTATATATTTATAGAATGATTTATTGGTGAATATTTATATAAATCCTTATTTCTTTTTAAAAACATTAATTCTTTTACTAAATTAGAATTTAATAATTCTAAATAGATAATATAAAACGATTAAATCGTTTATCCAGAAATGAGAATCGATTCTAATTCGATTAATGATAAAACGATTATCAGAGATTCGATTCTCATCCCTACCCTAAACCAGAGACGAATATGCATAATTAAGTTTCAAATAAAAGATACTATATAAACATCTAATTATTTTCAATATTGAACTATTATTTGTTCTATTTTGGTAAAATTAATAAACGACTTAAAATATATGAACAATGCAGTAATAATCCGTAAGAGATATTACGAAATAACCTCAAATCTTTAAATGAGGTGCCTAAAAATTTCTGATAATTTATTAATATGTAAAATTAAATCAATAATTCATGAATACAATAAATAATTTTTAGTCGGTGAGTATAAAGAGGATTTATTAATCTGTAAAATTAAATAAGCAAATCCCTAATAACCATCAAATCATTTTATTCGAATTAATTTAGTTTGTGAGTATAAAGATGGTTTAAATAATATGTGCGTTAGTAATTTCAACAATTATAGTTTATTTCAAAGTGATAATTGATAATAGATAAGTTCGTGATTTAATATTTTATAAAGTGGTTAGTAATTTTTTGCAATGCGTAGCTTATAATTTTAACACTAAGAAAGTATACTTTATGAGTTTATACAAAATAAATAATTTTAACAGTAATTAGATTTATGAATTTAACAATAAGTAGATTCGGGAATTTACTACAGAGTAGATTTAGAACTTAAAAGTAGGTGTAATCATAACGTTATAATGAATGAGGGTATTATAAATACTTATCTGTAATTTTTTATACGAAATTCTAGATTGTTTATATACAGAATCTCCGTTTTTCACGTAACAGCCAAGGTCACATCTTTTTGCAATGCACAATAATTGCAATTATTTTCAATTATTTCATCATTATGGCGCTTTTCAATAAAGTGTGCTGAGATTTAAAATTTTCTATAAATCATATATGTCATTAAGTAAAATTGTCAGAATCAAAAAAATCCCCTAAATTCTTGTAATTTCACATGACATCGTGATCTGCAGATGTGCAAAGCGCCATAATTGGTTGCAATTATTTTTTTTATAATTGATTGAACTGGAGTTATATAAGAAACTTATAGCGTTTGAAAAAAGGTATGACCCTGTTATTTTCTTTGTGATGGTAGTGAGAAACCTCTGTGATTCTAAGTTGTCTATTGATCGTATATATCAATAATGCAATAGGCAATGTTATATTTGACTAAAATCTGTACGTATTAATATACTTTCAATTTCATTAACATTTTTTTTTTTTTTTTTTTAGTGCGGAGAGGCAAGTTCAGATAACAATGGAAAGGAAAATGACCAGATATGATGTTTGTGGAGGAGTATAAAGGTAATTTGTACGAACTTCTGTTTACAGAATGTTCTCGAATTATATGTACTAAACATAAGGAAGTGAATGACTGATACGTAAGATAAAATTGTGGCGTGAAATGAACGACGGTTCAGAAGGGGCGTAGGCCAAACAGAAATAAGTTTGGGATTGTAGGCATCCAAATTGTTGGAGAAATGATTTATTTAAATGTCCTTATACGAAGTTCGTTTCTATCGATTATGTTCAGCTAGAATGGAGTGTTGCAGTTGGTAGAAATCCTGTTAATTTTACGAAATATTGTGATCATAAAATATTTCGTATTCATCTGAAGTCAGGTTTCTGATACTTCAAAAAAATAGTTTTACAACATCTTCCGATCATGAAGGTAGTCAAGATTTAGTACAAGAATAAACTTATCATAAAAAAACTTGAAATAACAGGCATCTGCGCGTTATTTTGTCGTTATTTCGAATTAAATGTCAATTTTTCAAAACCAGGTTTTTTCATAATAACGCCTATAAATGTAATCTTGAGACACGCATGGGAATTTTTAGAATTTACGGTAATCGGTATGTTCTGGATAATCCTTGTATTTTAAATATTTTCTATATCAATAAAGCTGGTTCTGATGACACGATTCGTATAAAAATCAATTTTACTTTTGCATATACTGTATCTGGTATATTTCAGGATTTATTTCAATGTATTGATATTGATGCTAAATGTGAAATTCAGAATTTAATTTTTCGGTAAAATGATAGAGTATGAAATTTTTTCGTTATTGATTTAAGATATATTAAGATGACAAGATTTTTTTTAAGGAGAAAACTCATAACACATTTTAAATGGTTCATTTTTTAAACACACAAAAAAAAAAATAAAAGTTCTTTTTTTTTTTGATCAATTGTGAATACATACTGTATATTCTTTGCCCTCTAAACTTTTTTTTTTTTATGAAAAACGAGCAGGAAACTTGAACCTATCCTTTTTTTATTTTTCCTTTGCTTTCTTTGAAAAAAAAAAGAAAAAAGAGAAAGCTCCAAAATCTTGCATCAAGTTTTTCGAAAAAAAAAAAAAAAAAAACTGTACCGACAAAATACATAAAAAGGGTAATAAGCCCTGCCGCCAAAAGAATAAAAGTAAAGAAAGGAATTTCGAATGAAAATGAAAATGAAATGCTTTATACAAGAAAAAAAAAAAAGGAGGGGGAGGGATTCGAAAAAAAAGATGACGTGAAAAAGTAATAAGGAAGGGTTCAAATATATATAATAAATTATTGAATCCTCTCAAAAACTAAAATTCTCGTGATGTAATTTTTTCTATAAAAAAACAAATAAAAAAAATAAAATAATCGATAGAAACGAACTTCGTATAAGGACATTTA